CGCGCTGACCTCCGCAAGGGGCAGGCGAGTGGCCCGTTAATCCCAATCGATCTTCTTGTGGGTGTAGGGGAGGGCCGCGCTGTCTGGCTGGTGAGGGGTTTGGGGATGGAGCCACGCGAATGGAGGTGGGGGAGCTGGCTCCTGAACCTTGCACTGGCCAAACTCGTGTCCCTGGGCTCTCCCTCCCGGTCGCGTCCTCATTTACTGCGAGAGTAAATGAGTGAAAGGACGACGACACCCCCCCCCCACAGGTTTTCTTCCCAGGGGATAGCAGCTGCGGGTAAAGGCTGATCTCCCGTTGCCCCTCTCCCCTCCCGGGGCCTCTCTCTAACCCCGTGGCCGCCCCTTGGCCCCCTCCTCCCGGTAAGCTCCAGACCCTCCAACTTGCCTTCCTTCCTGAGCTCATGCCAGGATGTGTGTGTGTGATGGGGTGGGAGAGGGGTGCAATCGTGTCAGGTGGGAATCATCTTGGCCCCCGCCTCATTTTTTCCCTTTAGTGAGAGCAGAATCCTCCCCACCTCCCAGTCTACAGGGCTGGCTGGGAAGCAGCCTTTCTAGCTCCCTCCACATCCTGGAAGGAGCCTAGAAAAAGCTGTACATTGAGTTTTGAGTCCTGGTCCCCCACTCACCAGTGACCTCACCTGTGACCTTAGGTGAGTGACTCAACCTCTCTGAGCCTTGGTGGAAACAATCTCATACTAGCTTATGTGTGGTTGTGAGAAAAAGAAAGGGGATCTGCCAGTAGTGGCTGGCCCCATATGGGATCCGGGGAAATGGAGAATTTGATGCTACTACAGGGATGTTTAGAGGCTAGGGTGAAGGTCTGGGGGCTGGGAGGATCTCAATTTGGGAGCTGCTTTCAGGGCACCGCCTGGGCAGGCCAAAGCATGGCTAGAGGAACACCAGATACTGTGAGCTGGTATCAGACCCTTGATCGCTGCTGGGCAAAGGCAGACAAGAACAAAACACCCAGGCTGCCAGCTGAGAATTAGGATCTGGGTGGGAGCAGGGGCTGCCCATGGAGTAGATTTGTGCCCAAGACTGGGGTGGGGACTGCTGAGAACAGACAGAGCAGGGTGTAGCTAGGGGGAGGGCAGAAGTTAAAACTTCTTTAAGGGGAAGGGAAGCTGTTCTTTCCACCGCAGTCTCCCATCTAGTTTGAAGCTGCACCTGCTCTTAACCGCCAAGAACCTTGCCTGTGGGTGTGGGGTGGGACACAGGGTATGGGGTAAGAAGCAGGGGGACCCCTCCCTACTACCTACTTAAAAACTAAGAGCGGAGGCTTTTCTGCCCTCTTGCTTTCATCCCTCTTGAAAATGTCAATATCATTGTTTACCACTCTATGCCAGTGGCTAGAACAGTGCCTGACAGACATGCAGAGGTCCTTGGTAAATATTTGTTGCAAGGATAAATCCCTCTGCTCCATCTTGGGGGGTGGCCTGCACCTCCCCTCCCTGCCCAGGTGTGGGCTGGGGGCTGAGGAAGACCTTCTTAGGGTCTAGGGCTTACCCAGAGAGGGGTTGACAGGAGCTATTAGGAACTACTGGGACCCCATTGAGGGTCTCAGGGTGTCCAGTTGTGTCTGTTTGTCTCTGGGTGGGTCCTGGCACAATGGGTGGCTGCACCTGTGAGACCTGCATCTCAGCTCCCCTGCTGAGACGCTGTGTTCTCTTATCTCCCTAGCTACAGGGGTAGCTTTTTATCTCCTGGGTGTGCTTCTGCTTCTTTGCATGCTAGGCTTCTCAGAATGGGGCCCCAGCAGGCCTGAGGGATTCTCTCTTGATATGCCCTGTGCCACCTTTTTCATTCTGGACCCACACCCAAGGAGCCCGTGGACAAGACCAGCTTCCTGAGCCTGGAATAGTAGTACCTCCGAGGGACTGTCCAGGCCCCCTCTGCTCCAACCCTCCTGCTGGCGAGTCTGGGCATCTGGTGAGTGCCCTGACAGGAAGGGTGGGAAGCCTGTCTCACACTCCAAACAACAAGACCTAGTCCCAGAGCTAAGCCCACGTGTGGGGGATGTGCTGGTGCCTGTCTGCCTGGCTTCTCATGCCAGCCAGCGGGAAGGCTGTTTGATCTGCTGCTGATGCCAAGGGGCCTCCCCTACACAACCGGGGAACAGGAGAAGGGCCCAGAGGGGGAAGGCTAGGAGCTCTGGGACTGTGCCCCCCCCCACCCCTCCAGTCTTCCTTTCAAGGTCACTCTCAGAAAGAGGAAGAGGACAGGGCCTGGCACTACTCAGAGAGGAACTAAGGGGATACTGGGTGACCCTGGGGCCAGCATTGGGGGAAGGGGCTGGGGGTCTGGCTAGGCTAGGCTATAGGAAGACCTGTGTCCCCACATCCATTGTGAAACATTTTCTTAGAAAACCAGCCGGGAACTGGGAAGCTCCTGGGCAGAGGCTGAAAAGAAAAGTCAAGGTGCCACCAGCAGGGAGGTTGGAGTCTGGGGTACCTTCAGGAGGGGACAGGCTCTCCAGAGCCCACCCCAGCCATGAATCTGGTGGGGGGAAGGCCACAGAGTGAGGCTGGGCTGCAGAGAGGGATGCGGGGAGCCACTCTGGCTTGGCCACACTCATCATCCTGCTGTCGCCGCTCCTGTGGATCTGTTTGTTTCGTGTCCTCCCCGCCCCACACCTCCTTGCTCTGTCTCCTCCACTTTTCTTCCCTGCTTCCTTTGTCATCACTGTCCCTGACCCCTCTCGTCCTCTTCCCTGCCTTCTTTGACTATCTCTCCCTCCCTCATACTTTCTCCTCCTTCCCTCTTGCTCTCCACCCTCCCGTTTCCCAGCTTATAAACTGCTGCGGCTGCTGGATAAAAATAGCGGTGGCAGCGGCCAGGCTGGAAGCCAGGTAGAGCCTGAGCAGGCAAGGGGGCCCAGCAGGATCAGCCTGCTGGGCCAAGGGGCCAGGTGGGGATCAAGTAGAGTGGTCCTGAGGGGCAGGGCCCGTAGGGGGTCTTGTGAACTCTTTGGGTGGCCTGCTCTGTCTGCCCTGCCTCCTCCTCCCCCCAAGAGTCTAAGGAGGCCTGTGGGAAGCAGGGCCCAGGCAGCGCCTCACACTGCTTCTGCTCCTGCCCCCAGCAGGCACCAGGGGGAGGGAGCTGTCAGCCAGGCAAAACCAAGAACACCATCACCATGACAACCAGTCACCAGCCTCAGGACAGGTAAGGGGTGGGGGACTGGGCTGTGGATCCAGAGGATGGGTTTCCAGGGGGCTGGGTGTGGTGTTCTTTGGAATTTGGGGCTGCCACTGCTGGCTGGCCTTCCAGCCAGGTAGCTCTGAGTAAGATCTGCATCGGGGGCGGGACCGTGCATGCTTTGGCCGATGCTGCCTGATGCTGCCTGAGGTGTCGGCGGGAGGGCCGGGGAGGGTGGGCAACGGTCCTTCCCAGACTGTCAGTGTTTCCACTGTTGCTCTCCAGCCAGCCAGCAGCTTCCGGCCCCTCCCACCATCACTGTGGGGAGACACTTGGCAGCGCCCTTCATTCCAGAGCACATCTGGCAGAACTATGGGGCCTTGACCTTACATGACCTGGCCCACCCGGGTCCCTGACCTGACCTTCCTCTCACTTCTTGGCCCTGGTGCCTGTGAACTCCCTCCAGTTAGACTTGCAGTGGTGATCGTTAGGAAGAGGCTATAGCTTGATTCGTTTCCTCAAGGGGCCTGGGACCCATGAAAGTTGAGGAGATGATGCCTGGGGGCCACGTGCCTTCCAGGTGTCAGGCTCTGTCCTGCCCTCCAACTCCGTCTCCCCTGCCCACTCCATCTCCCTCCTGTGCCAGAGGCCACTAAACTAGGCCACTTCTGCCTGTGGGTCCTTAAACACTTAGCCTGATCCCTCTGGGCCCAGTTCCCTACCTGTAAAGCAAAGGTAAGGGTGTCCACCTCAAGTGGTTTCTTGGTAGAGGAAGGAATTGCTGGAGATGGAGGGAGTCCAGGCCTCAAGTGGCTCTCTGTCCCTCTCCATTCCCAGGCCTTGTCTGCCCCTTCCTAGCCTCCCTCTCCCGTGGCAGTTCCCTGCTACCTACTCCCACCTCCACCCACCCTGTTGTACTCGCTCCTTCCCCAGCGCTACATCTGACCCTCTACCCTGTGTGACCTTAGCTGCGAGTCTCTCCCTCCATTCTGGGCCTCTGAACTAAGCCTGGAGCTTCTCTACTTCAAGGGGAGCGTGTATGTGAGAGAGCTGGGGGGCTGCAGTTGTAATAACTGTGTGAGACCTGCTAGTGGGCCAGCTCCTGTGCTCTGGCCAGGCCTGTGTCCTCACAGCTTTGGGCTATGTCCCTGCTGTCTCTGAAGAACACTGGCGTTGACTTTGGAGGTATTTGCAGACAAATCTAGCGATCCAACAGGAGGGGTCAGACTGCAAAACTTGCAGACAAGGCCTACCTGGGGGCAGCTGGCCTGTCCCAGACAGGCCTTGAGGTGTAGCACAAGGGGCATAGCCCTGGCCAAAGCTGGGCGGTCCCTGTTTACACTCTGGGGCCCAGATGATGTCTAGTGGCCTTATTACCTCCTGGTGGTGTGACTTACAAAGCCGGTTCTGTCTGGGCCAGGAAAAAAACAGCTCTTGCTCCCTCACTTCCCAGTGGCCCAGTGGTACCCTGCCCGCCCGCCCATCTAGGTCCAGAATAGTCTGGGAGTTTCTTGACCTCAGAATCCTCTTTGGGGAGCCACACAGTCCCTGCCCAGACAGCATAATCACTCCCAGCCTGCCTGGTGGGGGTGGAAGACGCTTGCTGTTTGCTTTCTCAGTCACCCGCCCGCCCCCAGCCCTTCAGGACTTCCAAAACCATCTCCGGATGTGTGGGTCATGCTGGTTCCCAGCCTGCAGGGTCCCCCGAGCCTTTCAGGGCTGAGAACCAAGGTCCTGTCAGCCATGCCATTCAGTCCTGCGACCCTGGCCCTTTTCCCTGAATTCCAGTGGATCCTTCTGGGGTCCCTTTGACCCTTTCTGTATCCCAGGATGACCCCCCCCAATACACACCCATAAGAGAACATGCACCCGGACACAAACACCGAGGCCCTGTGCCCTGGCACAGCTGGAGAGTGACAGGCAGGGAGGGAGGGGTCTCCCCAGGGCTGATCTGGGGAGAGGGGTGGGATGGTGGGTCACTTGGCCCCTCTTCCATTGCAGATACAAAGCTGTCTGGCTGATCTTCTTCATGCTGGGTCTGGGGACGCTGCTCCCTTGGAATTTTTTTATGACAGCCACTCAGGTGAGGCTGGAGGGACTGGGCTCTATGGGGCATGTCCCTTGGGCCTGCAGGGGCTGGGTCTGTGCCTCTAGGCACAGGAAGAGAGGGATTTCAACACTCCTCTCTGCAACTCCCATAGTATTTCACTGCCCGCCTGGACATGTCCCAGAATGTGTCCTTGGTCACAGATGAACTGAGCAAGGACATCCAGCCCTCAGCTGCCCCCGCAGCACCCTTGCCAGAGCGGAACTCTCTCAGTGCCATCTTCAACAATGTCATGACCTTGTGTGCCATGCTGCCCCTGCTGCTTTTCACCTGCCTCAACTCGTTCCTGCATCAGAGGTGAGCCCCGCCCCCTCTCCAGCCGCCCCAGCCTGGCCTTCACTGCCTCCTGCACCCCTGGGCTGAGCCCTGGCCTTGCCCACCCCTCTCGGTCGCCCTTCACCTCTCCATGCAGGATACCCCAGTCTGTGCGGATCCTGGGCAGCCTGGTGGCCATCCTGCTGGTGTTCCTGATCACTGCCATCCTGGTGAAGGTACAGATGGACGCGCTACCCTTCTTCATCATCACCATGATCAAGATCATGCTCATTAACTGTAAGCCGGGGCCAGGCCGGAGCCTGGGGCTGAGACCCTCCCACATACCCCACCCTTCCATCAGGCCCACGGTCAGCCAGAGAGGGAGTGGATGCTGTGGGCAGCTGGGATTCAGAGGCCTGAGCGGGCCTGGGCCAGGGTTGGAGGGGACAGAGAGAAAGGCAGCTCAGCATCCAGACTCACTGGCAGTAAAGCAGGAATGACGGACCCCCAACCACCAGCGCCAGCTCCCCTGCTGATGCCCACCCTGTCCCCCTAGCGTTTGGTGCCATCCTGCAAGGCAGCCTGTTCGGTCTGGCCGGCCTCCTGCCCGCCAGCTACACGGCCCCCATCATGAGTGGCCAGGGCCTAGCAGGCTTCTTCGCCTCGGTGGCCATGATCTGCGCCATCGCCAGTAAGTCCTGGTCCACCTGCCCAGTGCCCTAGTGGTGGCGGGGGGAGAGGATGGGGCCTGTCTCTGATCACTGACACCACCCCAGGTGGCTCGGAGCTTTCAGAAAGTGCCTTCGGCTACTTTATCACAGCCTGTGTCGTTATCATTTTGACCATCATCTGTTACCTGGGCCTGCCCCGGCTGGTGAGCAAATGGAGGGAGCTGGGGTTTGGGGTATGGAGCTCTGGGGTTGCAGACTAAGGGTGTTCTGAGGCCAAAACATGGGGAGCCCAGAATTCTGGAGATTTTACCTTTGAATCCACTTTCCCGTCTCCTTTCCTTGACAGGAATTCTACCGCTATTATCAGCAACTCAAGCTTGAAGGGCCTGGGGAACAGGAGACCAAGTTGGATCTCATTAGCAAAGGTCTGAAGAGTCTGAGGAGGCCAGAGTGGAGGAGACAGCATGCCAGGCGGGGGGCAGTGCGAGCAGAGGGCAAGAATGAGTGCCCTGTGTTAACTGGCAGCCCTGAACCACCAGGGGCAATAGGAAATGAGGGCTGGGAAAGACAGAACAGGGACAGATCCTGGATGACCTTGAACACCTGAGGGATTTGGACTGAAGGCAGTGGGAGACAATTTCAAATTCTTGGGCGGGGAGGCTCCTGGGAGAAGTCAGGGCAGGATTTGAGCTGTGGCGATTTCAAGGGGAGATCTGGACTGAAGCTAGGTTACAGCTGTGAACTGGCTAAGAGGATGTTTGTGTCCAGCTAGCCCCAGCCCTTTTGGGGAATGTTGGTGTCATCTTCTGTCCTCCCCACAACTTGAAGGTTTTTTCACAACTGTCACTCCCCAGGAGAGGAGCTAAGACCAGGCAAAGAGGAGTCTGCAGTTTCAGCCGCCAATCCTCAGCCTGCCCAGAAAAGCCACTCTATCAGAGACATCCTCAAGAGTGTACGTGCGGCAGGATGTCCTATCTTCCACCCCTCGCGCTCTTTCTCTCCTTTTGCTCCCTCCCGCCTGCCACTTGCCTCCTCCCTTCCAGACCTGAGGCTGGCCACTCTCCTGGATTCTTGTGTGTGTGTGCACGTCGGGGTAGGGATCTTGGCTCTTGAACGCGCAGCCACCACAACGACACAGGGACGTGGGTGAACCTCCTTCCCCTTCTCTCCAGATCTCAGTCCTGGCTTTCTCTGTCTGCTTCATCTTCACTATCACCATTGGGATGTTTCCGGCCGTGACTGTTGAAGTCAAGTCCAGCATTGCGGGCACCAGTGCCTGGGGTGAGGAGGCCATGGGTTCTAGGCTGGGGCCAGACAGGATCCCGAGCTGGGCTGGGAATGGGGAAGTGAGGGGGCCTAGGTTACCTTCTCCCCCTCTAGACTTCCCTGGGTTCCTTTGCCCTTCCCCAGGCTGAAAGCATCTTCTCCATTTTGTTGGGCAAGCTGAGACCCAGTGAGGGTCAAGGTTGCTATATCTGTCTCTTAGGGTCTATGGTTATTCCCCTGATCTTCTCTTCCAGCAAACTACTTCATTCCTGTGTCGTGTTTCCTGACTTTCAATATCTTTGACTGGCTGGGCCGGAGCCTCACAGCTGTATTCATGTGGGTAAGTGGAGGAAGGGGCCACCAGGCCCCTACGGGAGGGAAGAGTCCAGCCTGAGACCCAGAAAGGGAACCCAAGAAAGGATGGTGGTGAGGGAGACATACCTTTTGTGCAGTTAGGTGTACAAGTCTTAAGTGTGCAACTTAATGAGTCCACGTGTATATGCACACACCACACAGATCAAGATGTAGGCAATTTCCATCACTCTAGAAGGCTCCGCTGTGCCCCCCTCAACCAGTATCCCCCAGAGATAGCCAGGCTCTGAGGTTTCAACTCAGGTCCTGCGGGGCCCCTGGATTCCTGGGGGCTGACCACCCTGGCTGAGACACTGCCTGGTCTCACAGCCTGGGAAGGACAGCCGCTGGCTCCCAAGCCTGGTGCTAGCCCGTCTGGCATTCGTGCCCCTGCTGCTGCTTTGCAACGTCCTGCCCCGCCGCCACCTGCCTGTGGTCTTTAAACATGACGCCTGGTTCATCCTCTTCATGGCCGCCTTTGCCTTCTCCAACGGCTACCTCGCCAGCCTCTGCATGTGCTTTGGACCCAAGTGAGTGGGACCGGGTGGGGAACTTGATGGCCTCAGGCAGGGCCTAGATCCGGCGGGGGACCCTCAGGAGAGGGCGAGAGGGCAAGAGGAGAGTCCCTGCTCCTGGAGCTGAGAGGGGAGATGGCTGGGGACAGGCCCCAAGGCTGAGGGAGTAGTGGTGGGTAGTGGAGGGGTAGGGTGCCCAGGCTTAGGTAGAGATGCGGGAGGGAGACTGTCAGGATGAGTGAAAGACAGCCCCAGTACATGTTTCCCGAGAAGGAAACGCCAGGCTAGGATTAGGAAGTTACAGTGGGTTGGCCAGCAGAATGAGGTACTCAGGCGAGTCTCCTCACTCCAGCCCTCCTTCCACCTGGGTGCTCTGGGCAGGGGCAGGGCTGTCCTAAGGTAGCCTTGCCTTTGCTCCCTAGGAAAGTAAAGCCAGCCGAGGCGGAAACAGCAGGAACCATCATGGCCTTCTTCCTGTGTCTGGGCCTGGCACTGGGGGCTCTCTTCTCCTTCGTGTTCCGGGCAATTGTGTGACCATGGATGGACAGAAGAACTGCACTGCCTGCCTGCCTGGGGTGGGCAGGGGTGGTCTGGAGGTCTATTCTTCTAGCCAACTTCTGCTTTCTCACAGTCTGTGCCGGACCAGGAAGTCCAGGCCCTGGGGAAGAAGCGGCTGTGGATGGACAGCAGGGACGTTGTGGGCTTGAGGGTCAGGGTTGTGGGAGGGGGCTCGGTCTCTGTATCTGCTGGAGTTTCTCCACACTCCGCTCTGGGTGACCCCTGCCTGAGCAGGACAGCAGAGGCCCTTGGACTCTGAGAGCATGGGTGTGTCTGTTGGTCAGTCTGTATGTTTGCCTGTTTGTACCAGGGGTGGCCGGGGCCAGGATTGACCGTTGTATGGTCTGATCTGATTTGCCTCCTGCCCTGTTCTCTCCACTTCCCCTCCCCCAGCTCCCTGAGCCTAGTCCCTACTCTCATGCACCCCATACAGTTGCTGTTTTATTGTGTTTTTTACATTTGACAGAAACCAGGTGCCTTGAGGCTCTCCGATTAAATAAATCTGTTTTGTTTTTGTTTTTCCATGGCTCCCTGTGTCCTCCAGCCATGGCTTCATGCCCTGGGGAGGATAGACGGCTGGCAGCCTGAGTCTGGTGGGATGAGCATGACCCAGCTGGGCCTTGGCCAGGCCTGGGGCTAGGCCCGGATCCAAGGTGAGGGGGTAGGTAGCCCTCCTGGCCTCAGGGGGACCGCAATGCGCCCTGCTGGGACCACAGAGAAGGGGCAGGCCTGGAGCCAGGACACCAGGACAGTTGGCCCAGACTGAGAACGGCCAAGTTTTCTTTGCTCTTTATTCGTCCTTTCACAGGACAGGGGATGGGGACAGCTCCCAGTCTTTATTTTGTCTTCACTGCCACCCCCCTCCCCCACTCTGTCCTCAGCCCCAGAAATGAACTCTGCAAAACTGACCGGCTCCTGGCTGTACTCCCACACCACCGGGCAGGAAGAGCTTGAGGCCTGAGGGTTCTTCTCCCCTACCTGGCATCCTGCCCTGACACCAAAGTTCAGCCTGCCAGACTTCCTGGGGAACAAGGGGCCTATGTGTCCCCACATTAAAGCCAGACCCTCCCTTTCTCAGCCCACGCTCTGGCCTGGGGAGGGGCAGGCTGATAGGGGATTATGAGAGTGCCTCAGTGGAGGAGGCCTACTGCTGGGACCCCTTTCTGGAATGACTTCCTGATTGGAAGTGGGGGCAGAGCTCTGGCCTGGGTACAGTGCTGCCCTGCTCCACACTGCCCGTGTTTTAGTCTGGTGTTCCGCTAAGCCCGGGCTGCTCACTGATCCCTGACTACGTTGTGGCACCTTTGTCAGGGCTTCCTTTCTCACAGGAGTGTGATTTAATTGAAAGCTTCAGGCCTCATTAAAGGCTGTTAGCACAGTTTTAAGACTCCGTGTTGAGCTCTGAAGCCCTAATGGGGTTGCTGAGTGTACCATTGTATTGGGAACTGAAGTCCACGTACTAATTTGTCCAGCCAGAGTGTATATCTGAGGTGGTCAAAAACAAGACTCAGCCGGGCTCGGTGGCTCAGCCTGTAATCCCACGCCTTTGGGAGGCTGAGGTGAATGGATTGCCTGAGCCCGCGGGTTCGAGACCCGCCTGGGCAACTTGGCGAGACCTCATCTCTACAATAAATCAAAAAATTAGCCAGGCGTGGTAGCGCGCGCCTGTAGTTCCGACTACTCGGAAGACTGAGGCAGAAGGACCGCCGGGGCCTAGCAGGCGAGGCAGTGGTGGCTGGGAGCGGCCACTGCACTTCGGTCTGGGCGACAGAGTGAGACTCCAACTCAAAAAAAAAAGACTCTTTCCCTATCAGGTTCAGAAGTTGAGGCATTCCCTGAGAATTCCTCCGGTCTGCAGTGCTATTTGGCAGTGAGTCCTGCTGAATATTACAACCTGAGCTTTTTCTTGCCCTGCGTCCTCCCTGATTTCCCCATTGTGCCCCAACACGGAGAGCCCTGCTGGGTCCCTTCCTCAGCACCAGTGGCCCCTCAGAGACCCTGAATTTCTTCTTGATGTCTCTTTACCATTTCCTACCTGGCCTTGAGATTTTTTTCCAGGTCTCTTCCAGTCAGTCCCACATGTGGCCATGAGTATAACTTGAAAAATTTAGGGGTGTGCTGGTCCCTTTCCCTGGAGTACACGTCTGTTTATCCAAATGTTTCCTCACCCTCTACCAGCAATAGCCAGTCTGCAATTGCATCTCAGAGCTCTGGGAATTTTGTGACTTTTCTGTCACTTTTTTTTTTGAGTTGGAGTCTCACTCTGTCGCCCAGACAGGAGTGCAGTGGCCACTCCCGGCCACCGCAGCCTCGACCTGCTGGGCTCCGGCGATCCTTCTGCCTCAGGCTTCCAAGTAACCGAAATTACAGGCACGCACTACCACACCCAGCTAATTTTTTGATTTATTGTAGAGATGAGGTCTCGCCTGCCTAGGCGGGTCTCAAACCCACGGGCTCTGCAATCCATTCACCTCAGCCTCCCAAAGCGCAGGAGTACAGGCTAAGCCACCGAGTCCGGCTTATTTTTATTATTATTAATAATAATTTTTATAGTCCCGAGGTCTTGCTGTGCTGCTCAGGCTGGTCTCAAACTCCTGGGCTCAAGCACTCCTCTCTCATTGGCCCCCAAACTCTGGGATTACAGGTGTAAGTCATTGCACCTGGCAAGAATTACTTATATTAAATTTTCTCTGTCCAAATAGGTGGTATGGTTTCTGTCTCCTGAATAGATCCTTACTGATACAAGGGATTAAGACTTCAGAAGTCAAAGGAGGAAATGATTTATTCTGACAATGAGGATAGAGTACAATGACTTGAACCAGACTTTGAAAGTTAACTTGGATTTTGATAGATAGAGAATGTGAGTAAAATATGAATTTCAGGAGACACTGAGTATGGTGACCAGGCTGCAGTGCAGGATTTATCAAGGAGTGCACTCAAGGGACACAGAGGCCTAACCAGTGTGGATTTTAGTGGCATAGCAATGAACTCAGGTTTTTTCTCTGGGCAATGAAGAACTATCAAATGTGTCAAATGTGTCTGAGGAGGAGCAGAATAGGATTGAATGTGTCAGAGGAGTATCAAGAAACTGCCTGAGGTCATGGCCATAGGATTGGAATAAGACTCACAAAGATGATTCTGCATTTCTGCTGTAGCTCATGCTATGGAGCAAGTAAAGACCAAGTCTGAACTAAAACTCAGACCTTGACCTTAGCCTGCTCTACCTT